GGCGGTTGAATTGGGAGGGGGGAGATCGGGAAAAAATGGAAGATGTTGGAGTAAAGGTTTCAATTCCTAGGGTTGGTCGTTAAAATATAAATTAATGAGAGACACTTGAAAAGGAAAATATGGCTGTGTAAAGGTGTGCTTTTAACAAAACCATTATCACATACAGTAGAACACGGCTATAGCGGGACGTTTGGTTCCAGAAGAAAAATCCCGCTGTAAGCGAGTTCCCCCTATTGGGATGCAGAGGGGAAATTAAGCGAAATTTTCTTTAAAATTCACATAATTACCTCCCTTTCATATCAATAAAATTTGCGCTTTAGATTAGTCTTCCTTCTATTGTTAACTTCGTTTATTATCTCGGTCTTTAATTCGAGTCAGAAGCATTTTCTTTTGTCTTTGTTGGAAGTGATCTTTTCCTTGGTCTCGTTCCTTGTGCTGTCTATCGTACCAGTAGGCCTATTGTAGATAACTGGTGAAGTGGATGCGTATGTATGCCTCTGAGCATCAACAATCGCAATTCAATGAATCAGGAATAGCACACTACACGCTTTCCTCTTCTTTTACTTTTTGGCCTAGCCTAGGTCTAGGGCTATGGCCTATATACGCTCTCATACAGAGCGTCTTAGCAACGGCACATCACTTTTGGAGCGGCTCACGTAATGCGTCTCTCCGCACCAGCTCTCTCTGGGGGCCTGCCCCACCTCACTAATCACTGGACTGGCCAATCACAACGCCGCACCGCAGACTGCCTGTTTGGAGCCTGCCTACAGCTCCCCCCCGAGCTAGAGCTCGCCTAATCTCTCCCGCTGTATCCGAGTTTGGGCCTTTCCTTGCCCCGCTAAATCTGAGCTCAGGTTATTGAGTTAACATAGAAAAAAACGGGCATCCCGGTAAAGTCCCGCTGTAGGGATGGTCCCGCTGTAGCGGGTGCTGCTATAGTCATGTTCTACTGTATTGTGTAAAAGGAAAATAAAACTAAAAACAAAAACGTCAATGAAAATGTATCTGGAAGTTGGGATTTTGCACCCAAAAAACAAGCAAGAAGTAATTTGTAGGGCAACAGCGACGTGCACTCGGTTTATCACCTAACGTTAATTTCATGTGAAGATAAAATATTACACGTGTGATACATTTTTGCAATGAAAGGGAGACATTAGAAAAAGAGAGAAAATTCGCGTCCGCCTATTCAACTGTACACCGTATAATTCGGGCACCCGGAAATGACCCTCGAAACGTCAGCACCTCTTATGCAAATGAGGGTGTTTCCGCTGCTTTGCCAAGATGGCGAAAACCTATGACTACCTTTTCAAGCTATTATTGATCGGCGATTCAGCGGTCGGAAAAACTTGTATACTCTTCAGATTCTCAGAAGACGCTTTTAATTCGACGTTCATTTCAACAATAGGTAAGTAGTGGTTATGTTTGTCTTTCTGTGATAAAATTAAGGCATGTTAGAATCCTCTTCCGTGTTTTTTTTTTAGTTCGTGGACTGCTCAACTCTCAAGCAAGTTCTCTTATCAGTGTTCCGTATCATTCTATCCCACACCCTGCCCATAGAGCTTTAAGTACGAGAGTAGGATTTAAATCAACATACATTCATATCTAGAAACCTACATCTTGCGTTATCGTCACCCTCACTTGTTTTCTTAGCCGTTGTCTGTTATCTACTTGTAGAGCGATGCAGAAGAAGTCGGAGAAGTCTCTCTTCCTTCTCTGAACACAGCGACTACTCACACAGTTACTGTAACTCGGTAATACTACAGTTAACTGGAGTTCAGAAGACATGAAGCTACAGCGAGCACCAAGCACACCTTTATGATTGGCCCAAATATAGATGACATATTTCCGCCATCTATTTTTGTCTTCTGGTTTCCCTCGCCAGTTGACTAGATCTCACCGTGGAGGGCCCGCTTTGCAGCTTAGCGTGCGATCATAGATCTAGGTGTTTCATCGCCGACTGCTTGGGCTGTGTGTGTGTGTGCGCGCACGCGCGTGTTTGTGTGTGTGTGCGTGCGTGCATGTGTGTGCACTGTGTGTGCGGGTGCACGGGCGCGCCTGTGTGTGTGTGTGTGTATACAGTAAGCTTTGTGGAGAAGGTAAATTTATGGAACGTGAATTGCTGAGATTGTTTATAATTTTATAACACAAATTAGACGAGATCTAGATCTAGTCAATAGTTACTGGCGATTGAAACCCAAGAGTCTTGAGGGGAACTCCGGAAGACGACAAATATAGATGACGGAAATACATCATCTTTATTTGGGCCAGTCACAGAGGTGTGTGCCTAGCTTGGTGCTCGCTGTAGCTTCATTTATTTAAAATGTTCGTAGTGTAAATTTAGTACATCAGGAGTAACTTGTAATCTTGTAAATGTCAGCCTACATAATAAAATCTGACTGTTTAAATCAGAGACATGAAGCTACACCGAGCACCTAGCACACCTCTGTGATTGGCCCAAATATAGACGACATATTTCCGCCATCTATTTTGTCGCCTTCCGGAGTTTCCCTCACCAGTTGACTAGATCTCACCGTGGAGAGCCTGCTTTACCACTTAACGTGCGATCACTAGGTTTTATCACCGACTGCTTGGGCTGTGTGTGTGCGCGTGTGTTTGTGTGTGTGTGTGTGCGTGCATGCATGTGTTTGTGTGTGTGTGTTCGGGTGGGCGGGCGCGCTTGTGTGTGTGTGTGTGTGTGTACAGCTTTGTGGAGAAGGTAAATTTATGGAACGAGAATTGCTGAGATTGTTTATAATTTTATAACACAAATTAGTACAACTAAAAAAAACAACAAATACGGCGAGATCTAGTCAAAAGTTGTACTGGCGAGGGAAACCCAAGAGTCTTCGAGGAAACCCTGGAAGACGACAAATATAGATGGCGGAAATGCGTCATCTTTATTTGGGCCAGTCACAGAGGTGTGTGCCTAGGTGCTCGCTGTATACATAGCTTCATTTGTCAGGAGTAACTTGTAATCTTGTAAATGTCAGCCTACATAATAAAATCAGACTTTTTAATCAAAGTCAAAGGCGAGGGGTACACACTTTACCCTGTAGGCCTAATATATTGGAACGTTAGAGAGTTGGATAAGAGATTCCAAGCAGGCCAAGATATTGCTATAACCACCAACAATGGAATTGGCCTATTTTGAAGGCTATTGTCAGTACTAGAGACACAAGACACTGAAAAGTTCTAGTTCTCAACTGTCATGTTCATGCTTGTTGTGAGAGTGGTGTTACTATTACTAAATATAGAGTTAGTAATAGTTCTAGGGCTGGTGTGGTGTGTTGAGACAGCAGAATGTTGTCTTTGCTCCCCAAAATCTCAGAGCACGGCATAATTATGTCATGCCCCAACTGTTAATAAAATTCCTGCCTCCTCTAGCTCTAGATTCTATCTATTTTGAACGATGGCGCTCTTGTGTCTAATTGTGTTCATCTTGAATGAGTCGATCTACTAGATCTACTCATTGATGCATCATGTTTTAATTTTCCTAGTGGATCTATCATGTTACGAACTTGTTTTCTGTATTGTAATCGTTGATGGCTGGCCTAATTTTAATTGGATATTATGTTTTAATTAATAGCTGGCCCAGTTGTATTGACTTTTGTGCTAATTAAACAGGAGAGGCATAATTGTTTTCTTTGGTTCTGGTTTGGTTTTTTCGGTACATTTAGGATTTTAGGCCTGTACCGCACTCCAATAGTCCTGTCTCAGAATAGGACTGCCCTGTCCCACAGTCGATTTTTACATTTCAAAACAGATATTGCACCAGGACAGGACTGATCCGAGAGATAAGGGGGCTTCTTTGATGTTGCCCAAGGCAGAGTTTTATGCATTACAAAAATTTCCTATAAGTTGAGAGTCCAAATTAAAAATAATAATCAGATTTTCTTGATCAGCGGCCCAAAATTTCCCAAAACTTGTGGGATGCAATTTAATGCCTGATTACCAAATTAAATTCTTTGTGTGGGTGTGCCTGTGTGTTTTTTTGTTTGTTTGTTTTGGTGGGTTTTTTTCACCATTTGACCCGCACTAGTTGTAGATTGCATGATCTTCAAGATGGATGAAATCGAGGTTGCCTGTGTCTGTGCTCTGTTGCTTTGTATTGGAAAATAGAGAGAAAGAGAACAGTAACTGCCACATATAAGCAGACAAAACGCCTTCTTTTATTCACAGCAGTTTCGAGAAAAAGCAGGTTTTTTTGTCAGCGTAATCATTTAAAAATAGTGTTCTTTTGAAATTTGAATTTTAACTATAAATTCAAAAACGAGTCACACTTTCATTTTGATTTGTGTACTTTAAACTTTTGTATTGTGGATAAGTGTAGGGTGGTTGTTTTTTTTTTTTTACTTCCCTAGAAACAGAGCTCCTCCCCTCCCCTTTTTTCCACCTTCCTTTCTTCTGAATGGGGTAATGTGGGCATTAACCTTTTGAGTCCTTGGGTACACATGTGGCGTGCAAAACTGTCCATATGCGTAGCCACCGGTACACCGGTGAGCGAGACCCCATCCCCAACCCGACCCGCCTGAAACGAAACGCGAATGGGAAACAGTGTTTACTACACAAGACATTATTGATTAACTGGAAGATCTTTCTGAATTAGATGCTGGTAATGACAAGGACTAACCTGAGTGAGATATATGGAATGTGAATCTGACGAATGTGTATTACCCCCCGGGGCAGTGCCACTGACTGTAGTGTCTTTAGGCCATTCCCAAAGGGGGGACATAAATCTCGTTCAAGTTCAAGCACAGTAGAATTGTAAATGGGCTGATTCATGTCACACTCATAAATGTGCCTGATCTACAACCGGGGACTGCTGCTTTTTCTTTTTTAATCTTACCATTGTCATTTTCCTCTACTTCTTTTGTATGTTTGTCACTCTCTTAGTGACTTGCTATTTCCGGGGTGCCTTGATAGTCGAAGCAGACCTTGTGCTGTTGAAGCTAGAGAAGCAGAATAAGTCTGATTCCCTGTAAAGACTTCTCTGTTGACACCCACCCCTCGGCGCTCATACGACCGTATAAATGCAGTTGCGAGCGCCGTAAAACCCTCTACTATTACTATTTTTAAAAAAATAAATGTGTATGAATGTACTTTAATATATCGCTCAGGTAGAAGGGTTCGGTAGCCTCAGAAGGTCAGGGCTCAAAGGGTTAACCGGGAAGATGGAGGTGGAGGATTTGAGATGATTTAGTTTAGTTTTAGTAGAGGTTTTATGGCTCTCGCACCTGCATAAGGTCATGTACGAGCGCCAAGGGGTGGATGTCAACAGAGAAGTCCTTACACGGAATCGAGCTTACTCTGCTCACCCCTCTAGTTTCTAGCACAAAGTCTGTGTGACAAACATACAAAAGAAGTAGAGGAAAAATGACGATAGTAAGGATTAGGAAAGAAAAAGCAGCAGTTCCCTTTTGCAGTTCAGGCACAGTTATGAGCATGACATTTATGAATCAGCCCATTTATAATTTACAATTCTACTGTGCATAAGAACATAATTAATCATGATTGATATTAATGTCCCCCCCCTTTGGGAATGGCCTAAAGACACATCAGTCAGTAGCACCGCCTTAGGGGGTTCAGATGGTTTAGGGAGTACACAAATTAGAAAGGCATCAAGAACAATTGGTAGAGATCTAAGTAACTTTGAATATCTGCACAAAACCAAAGTTCTATAAAAAGGTGGAAATAATGTTAAGTGACCTTACCCACCCGCTGATGTCAGAATTTCAGTTATCAACCTGCGGTAAACGATATATTTCCAAAAATCCAACAACAGACAGATGTAAGAAATTCATTTGTACCAACTATTGTGAGGTTACTGAACACACAGTGATACAAATGAGAGAGAGAGAGAGAGAATGTTTTACAGAGCAGGTTGTTTCAGCTTGTAAAACATGTATTTACTAATGTCCTGTCTTGTGCGTATGCGTATGCATGAGCGCTCCTGACCTTTGTAACATCCACTACCATTGTAAACGACCAAGACAAATTGCTCCCTTCGAGATGAATAAAGATTGTCATTGTCATTGTCAAATGGGTACACAGGGAACAAAATTTTAATGATGTTTTTTCTGGCTGTCTTCCAGGCATCGACTTCAAAATCCGAACTGTTGAGTTGGACGGCAAGAAGATCAAGCTACAAATATGGTGAGTTTGTCTCGGTAATAAAGGCATATTTTCGCCTGCATCATCTGTTGATATCATGTTCTTATCATTCTCCTTTCATTCTCTCTTCGTCATTCTTATAATTACTTAATGCTGTTCTCTCCGGAACACGGTAAATCACAATCCTGCCCCGTGCGTCTTTTGGAACAGAAATGTGGAAGACAAAGCCCTCCAAGCTGCCCAGGCAAAACTGTGTCATCATATTTTTTAGAGGACCACCTGTGTCAGTCTAAGATGACTACTTCTCTGTTTTTCCTCGACAGTGGATCGTTGTCCTGGACAGGGTTGACTGTACTTTTTCATTGACTTGTTGTCTTTAGTTTCGTTTTAGTAGAAGTTTCACGGCGCTCACAACTGCATTATAAGGTCATACGATCGCCAGAAGATTAGTGCTGTTACAAGAGAGTAACAAACATAAAAAAGAGAAGAAGGGGAGATAAGGACGATAGATGTTTGATAGGAAAGAAGAAGCAAACCACACCAGAGCACCCACCAACCACCCACACTTGCTGTCTGCTTTATTTACATATATAGTGCTATAGAATGTATGCAATGAATATTTATTTTTTGTAATGTATTCACAGCTGTTGTAGACCAAGTACTCTTGCAAGGATAATATTAGAATTAAGTGTGTGTGTGTGTGGGGGGGTGTGTGTGTGTGTGTGTGTGTGTGTGTGTGTGTGTGTGTGTGTGTGTGT